TTTGATGCTACAGTCATTCAATGGGTACCACTGCAAGAAAAAGAGTAACAAATTTGACCCTGTCATGAGTTTTTATGGACCTCAGAGTTCAGTTTGTCAGATGCTCTGGCCCATGAAAACCCACAATAGAAATTTCTTCATCTAGCAGATGCCACAGATGCTTCTGATTGTGTTGCATGATCCTGATGGCAATCCAGTGATTCCGGAACTATACCAAGTTGACTGTACCAAGTTGAATCCCAGTAGTATCACCACAAGTATTTAAAACTCTTTTTAAAAGATAGTCATATTTTTCTTGTTCCCTTCAGAAAATGAAGATGACTTCTGAGAAAGTGCCACTGCTCCCCTATTGGGTTAAGATGGAAACTTTGTTGGCATAACCTGGTTTCCTTTCTTCTCTCCCTCTCACATATTTTACATACAGAGCACATGAGCTTTAATGGTTAGTTGCTGAGAGAGAAAAATTCCAGAGCAAAAGAACTGAAGATCCTAAGCAACCTTCCCATGGTGGTAAATGGAATCATTTCAAAGGGGATGGGTTTGGAAATAGTAAGACCTGTTTTTCAAATCAAATTTGCTTTTCCTGCAATCAACCCTGGACTTATCCACCACACCAACAAATAGAGTACAAATATAGACAATGCCTTTAATTGGTTAAGTGTTGATGGATTTTGAAGGATACATTAGGCTTGTGAACTTATCAATGATTACACCCCTGCTTTTTCACTGTGCAGCTCCTAAGTAAGTGCAAACCCTGCAACTAGCAAGTCAAGACAGTTCAAAAATGGATGGGGATAATTGGACAGGAGGAAAACATAGGTGAAGGAGGAAATCTACACCTAGCTATTTCTTCTGATTATATAAAGACAGATGGCAACCATCTGCTTACTGTGCCCACTCCCCTCCAGTTTTTACTTATGGCCATGAATGCTATCTAAAACCACTGGTTACTGCAGCGAGATGGCCCAATGCTTAGGTGGCTTCTCAAGAGCATTAGACGGACTCATGGGAGAAAGGTCCCTCAGTAGCTAATGGAGTCTCCAAGTGCTGAGGAAGTGTACATTTCTGACTATCAAGAGAAGGTTGCTTTTGTCATACTCTTGCTTGAAGGCTTCCCAGATGTATATAGTAGCCACTGGGATAACATGAAACTACATGGAGCTTTGGTCTGATCCTGCAGAGCTGTTCTTAGGGTCTAACCTCTCTGGCTGAGCAACTGCCATAAGATAATGTATGTGTGAAGTCCATAGAGCTATAGGGCTGTGTGTTCACCATGTATATTTCAAATACGTTAGATGGTGGGTTAGGTGCTTGTTGGCTCAGAGTATGACAAGTCCTCTAGCACAGCCTGCCCCAACAGAGCAGCAGCAGAAATAATTTGCTTGTAATGGGACCAAATCCCTTTGACATTTTTCTACCACTGGCTCATTTGGGGTGTGGATGGGAGCCCCCTCCCTTCCTCCTCTGTAAGCAAAGGTGATACGAAATGGACAGAGGCAGCTGTTGAATTCCAAGAGGTTGGTATTCGTTTTTTGTCCAACAGGAATGAGCAAAGTTAAGACTAGTCACTTCTGACAGGGAAGCTGGAAACCTTTTGAGAGGGAGAAAGAGAAGAAAAAGGAACTCACTTCATTTGTGGGGTTCAACTGAAAGGAGTGGTGTGTGTGCAGCTCAGAATGAGATGCAGAGAGAGGTAGGCCCAGAGTATTGCTGCCCTGACTAGAGGGCAAGAAAGAAAGCTAAAGAAAATGGATCTTTGCTAGTCACTGTCCTTTTCATGCTTTGTGGGACATAGATTATCCTACACAGTCTTTGCCCCATGAGCTTACTGCCAGCATTTCAACAGTGGAAGAAGCAGAGAAAGTAAGAAAGGAAGGCAAATAATGGAACTACAATGAGACGTGTCCAACTTGTTCTATTCATTTCAATTGTCTGCCCCAGCAGGACGCAGATCATTCTTTTCTCCGCTAATAGTCCATGTGTGTATGTTCATGTTCCGTGAATAGTGTTCCTTAGTATGCTTTTCTTAATGTAATCTATTCTCTTTTAAGCATAAAAGCCTCCCAAAAACATGTGTTATTCATTAATTGATACATTTTACTTACATGCAGAGCTTCATGTATCTGTTTGTTTTAGTGGGAGAGAGGGGAAGCCTATCCCCAGTTTAATATGGCTATCAACGTTGTTACTCTTTTTCTGTTCTTCCAGTCTATGCGGTGCAATCTCCCGCAGTTTGCTTGTCAAAGTCTCTCCTGCAGTCCACACATGCATGCTGCAGGAATAGTGTATTTATGGTATTTAGTATCGTTGTAGCTGTGCTTGAGAATATAAATAATGCTTTTCTTAGAGTGTGCATTTGAGGTTTTCAGACCATTTAATCGCCCATGGAAAAGAATCGGCTTTGCTTCGAAATCCACCCCCTTTCCATGC